GGTCCATGACAAATTCTGGTGAAGAGTTATTCCGAGAAATTTTGTTTGTTGAACTCTTTCGATGTCATGTCCACGGATAGTAATATTGAGATTATCTAATTCAGGTTTCCTACGACTTGGATGGAAAACCATGTATTTTGTTTTATCAGGGTGTATGTTTAATTTATTCGCGTTACACCATTTATAGACATTATTAAGCTCAATATTTATAGTGGAAAACATTGACGGAATATCTTTCCCACTGAGGAATATGTTGGTATCATCAGCAAAGAGTATGAGGGATAAGAGAGATGAAGAGTGTGATATATCATTAACATATATAGGAAATAGGAGAGGTCCAAGAATATAGCCTTGAGGTACACCACAGTTATTAGGTTTGTATGTGGAGCAGATATTTTCAATTTCGACACATTGTGATCTATTTTCAAGGTAACGTTTAATCCAAAAGTGAGCGATTCCACGAAAACCATAAAAATGTAACTTATCCAGTAAAATAGAATGATCCACAGTATCAAATGCCTTTTTAAAGTCAATAAATGTTCCAATTGTATAACCTCCTGTGTTGAAAGCTAGAGAAATGTTGTCAACCAGATCAATTATGGCCATAGAAGTAGAATGATTTTTCCGAAATCCATATTGGTGATCAAATAATATGTTATTCTTATTAATAAAATTTAAAAACATATTGTAAAGTAACTTTTCAAGAATTTTAGAAAAACATGGTAGAATTGAGATCGGTCTATAATTGATAAATTAACAGCGATCATCAGCCTTAAACACCGGAATCACTTTAGCAATTTATAATTGATTATGAACAATACCTGTCAAAATTGATTTATTAAAAATAGTTGAGAAAGGTAATGCTATTAAATCAATACAAGCTTTGACTATGAATTTGTTAATACCATCACCCCTTCACTCCTGCTATTTTTCAAGGAGTTAACAATTGTAGTTAATTCGAAAGGGTCAGTAGGAAATAATGAAATACTACCATTGAATGATCCAGTAAGATAATTACGGTGTTGATTATTGGAACTGGAAAAACCTTTAGATAAAGAATGACCAATATTAACAAAAAAATCATTAAATTTATTTGCAATGCAAATTGGATCAGTGTATTTACCACCTGCAGAATCTTTCATATTGGTAGGAATGTTAGTTCTGGATTTACTGCCATTAACAGTTTTAATGGTAGACCAAGTCGCTTTTAGGTTAGATTGCTGCATTTCCAGTTTATCATGAAAATATTTTTTCCTAACTAGTTTAACGGTATAGTTGTATTTATTGCGATATTTTGTGTAAACACGTTTATTGGTAGGAGTGGGATTTTTCAGATAAGTTTTATATAAAATATTCTTTTTACAACACGAATTATGCAGTCCAGATGAGAACCATAGTTTAAAGCCGGCTTTAAAATTAGAATTTCTAACAATTATTGGGAAATGATTATTATAAATTGGAAGAAGTATTCCTGAAAAATAGCTATACGAGTGATTAGGCGAAGTATTTAATCTTGTTTCATCCAAGTTTATTTCTTGCAATTCATTCTGAAAGATGAAAATACTAGATTGTGTTATTTTCCTAGTTTTAATATTAACAGGAACCGTATGTTGTTGAGGTTGAAAATTAGTAATCTGAAAAATAGGAAGATGGTGAGTAAGATCACTGTATAACATACCACTCACAATATCATGCTCAAGATTATTCGTAAAAATATTGTCAATTAAGGTGGCAGAGTAGGATGTAATTCTAGTTGGTTTAGAGATAGTCGGATAAAGACTGTTTGCGGAAACAAGATCAATAAATTCTTTCGTGGGTGGATGAGATTCGTGATTAATCAAATCAATGTTAAAATCTCCCAAAATGTAACATATTCTATTTTCATATCCAATTTTGGTTACTATTGAGGTCAAAAAATCATTAAATAGTTCAACCTCAACATTAGGAGGTTTATAAATACAGCCTATAATTATGTTTTTATTTTCGGACTGAGTGATTTCCAAGAATATTGATTCAGTTAATTCATTCGATGCAAGTTCAAGATCTGGTCGAAATTTGTACTTGAATGAAGACTTAATAAAAATTCCAACACCGCCACCTATCCTATGTTTCCTGGATTTTGCAACAAAGTTATACCCAGGGATATGAAAAGAATCACTAGAAGGATCATTAAGCCGAGTTACTGACAACGCAATGACCGAAAAAGATAAATTGATAGTAGATAAATATTCAATGAAATCATCAAAAAAAATTCAGACTTCTAATATTCATGTGGAGTTGTGAATAAATTATTAAATTCCCTACTGGTATAATAGGCACAGCTAGACAGTATTTGAAAGCTTAACAGAAACATATTTGAATTAGGATCAATATCAGAATTATTAAGTAAATGTCGCGTATCAGAATCACTAAGAAATGGATTGAAATAATTAGAGTTAAGACGATCATAATCTAAATTAATATCAGAGTTATGGAAGGCATTTTGAAGTGTAAAGTGGAAAGCATCATCATCAATAATATGATTAAAAGGAAATAATTCGGATAAACATGACTCACAAGAGCATGAATTATCACAGGAAATCAATTTATAATCCTGAGTATTAAATCTTGTACACTTTAAGTGAATCATAGATTGACAAATTGCACATGCAATTTTCCTAGAGTTGTTTTTAAAAGTAAAATTACAAACAGAACACCTTTCACTCATACTAATAGAACAAGAAAATAAGGGTATACCGCTTGTCTCGGATATTGCATATAAAAATTATGTTCAAACTAGTATAAATGAAGATATTAGCGCTTCTTACGATCGTACTAGGAGCTATAAGCAAAATAAAAACGTGTAGGTCTAACTCCGCAAATGAGCTAGTAAATAGTAGAAATACGATTATAGATTGCTTGAGTATGTTTAAGTAGGCCATGGCAAGCCAGCCTAGGTATATACAGTTAATAAATGACAATGTTCAGACGTAGAAATTTGGCTGGAACTATAAAATAATCATGTTATTCAGCACACTACAGAACACCCAACAGTCAGACAAACGGAGTAAAGAATATATAGATATTTACAGCCACATTCAACGATCAAGTAGGAATAGGTGTAACAGTTCCGTTAATGATTAACCTACCAGCTCGAAAAGCCACTTTACTACCTTTTTTGTATGCGGCAGCCATCATAGGACGGGCACGTTGTTTAAGATCAAAGTCTTCCTTAGTAAGGTCATCAAGAAAGTAGATACCGTTTAGTATAGACTTATTCCGTTTTGCCAAGCGAAGGACTTCGTTTTTGAGAGGCCTACTAAAGAACTTCAGAATTATGTCTCGAGGGCGATTAGAAATCTTTCTGCCCGTGCGGTGAGCTATTTCTATTTGATTACGGCAGAAATCTTCAAAATATTTAAGTTTAGTTAAGATATTCACCACATGGTCCATGCAGTTTTCGCCATGAGCTTCCATAATGCCTCCAATTCGTACGTTATAACTCCTTGAATAACGTTCTAATGCGAGAACGATATATTTGAGCAATTCAACATCACTAGTAAGAGAACTGTTTGTTACTTTAACTTCAGCAAGTTCGGTTTTAGTGTTGCAAATGTCGACCTTAATGGAGTCAACTTCGGCTTGGGTGTATTCAACCGAAGCACGTAGGTCATTAACAGCAGATTTAATTTCTTTAACTTCAGCCGCCATAATGCTAGACTCTTTGCGAAATCCCTTTAATTCCTTTAATATCTCAGCCAAAGTATTACCAGAATCTTCGCTGGAGACCTGTTTAGATTTAGACATGGCTTGCCTGGTCTCTATAGGCGTTGCACAATTTGTCAAGCGAAAATTAGTTAAAATTTAACCCAGATTACGGAGCTTGAACAAACACGTCTCACTCCATTGAACACTGACTAACGCCTACTAGCACAGTCGTCAAGAACGATTGGGCTATTTGTTCCTTCTGAAAAATGTGAAACGTATTCTTCTATTCTAAACACTGGTTTACGTCATCCTGCTTGCAGGGCATGGTTATAAAGTCCTTATCATTATTGTAATTCCAGTCCTGATACGTTTTGTTCCATTCGTATGCGGGACATATTAAGAATATGTAGTCAAAGTGGTTTTTATGGTCGTTTTCCAGCATTTCTAGTAGGTAATAGGTTTTTCCACATCCAGTCATTCCGAGAATGATCATGTTAAACGGTGTTTCCAATGGTTCAATCTTTTATTATTCAGTAATTAATACCCTGAAGGGTTTTTTCGCTGATGTTTATAAGTCCATCGGATAGCACAAAGACGTTACAGAGAATGTCTTCGGTCATCCCGTCGGTTTCGATTTCCAGAAGAATTCCAGGATTATCGCCGAGAAGCTTTTTTCCATTTCCAACGACATGGTTGTCATCGACAACCCTCAGATCAACTACCAGTGCGAATTTTTCTTTGTAGAATTTCCTGACGCTTATATATGTTGTCGTTACAGGTGTTGTTGGCAATTCCAAACAGTCTTTTTGCTTCGTCGTAGAAATTTTCCGTTGTTAAGCCCTGACTACCGGGTGTCCCAAAAAAAAGTACTCCTGTTTGATTCGTAATAACTTCTAAACAAGTACAGCTTTTAAAGAGAAATAACTTGCATTAAATAGAGGAAGGACTAACTTAGATTTTGATATATTACAGTTGTATTTCACTTAAAAATTCACGGAGATATCAATCTTTAAAATCGGGAGCATATTTCTGGATGTGTCTGAAATATGCAGAAAACGGCGTATCAAATATTAATCAAGATTTGCCCGACTGAAACATGCACTATTACCAGTAAATAAATGACACTTGACAAATTGTTTATTATGAAACAAAGTATTATTACATCTACAAAATACAAGCAAGATTTATTCGTCCGAAATTCGCGTGTGTTCCTAGCACCAATACGTTTCCTTATTTCATGAGACCACTGCATCGCGAAGGATCGTTATCGATCGTTCGTAGTTCTGAATTAGGGCATGCTGTCACAATGGAATTGTGAAGCTCTTCTAACTTCTGCAACATTCTGAAATCTTGTTAAGAACACCCGAACTCTTTTGCCTTTTCTTAATCTTGGCAAGTTCAAAGTAAACTGAGAATTGTATGAAACACAATCAAACCATATAACTCCATAAGACATAACAATTAAGTAACTGCTCAGAGACATGCAACATTTTTGGAACAAAACGTAACAAAATAGTAGCGTTGATACGGTGATGTGTATTTGCAAAAGCAATATTATTTCCTTCAATAAAGAATAATATTCATCCTGCTCTAACCGAGAAATAATAAACTCAGTCTGTTTGAACCCATTAAAAACATAAAATTGGGCTATTTAAGAAAAAGTTAAGCGCCTGCCTTCCATGGCATGGTCAGTCTTTCATGTACTTTTAAGTTTGTAAAGACCTAATATTAAATACTTGCATAATTTCGAACGTTCATATTTCAGGAAACAATGAGCTAAGACTTACATGTACAGGTAGATGTCTAAATCTACGCCATATCCCTTACAAACCGTAACGCGATAATTCGCTGAAATACAAGTTAGCCTGATATGTCATTAAGCAAACAAACGCTGGAGTTAATATTTGATATGCCGATTTTCGCTAATTTTAGACACATCCCAAAGTATGCTCCCGATTTTGAACATTAAAATCTCCGTGAATTTTTAAGTAAAATATAGCTGTAATATATCAAAATCTAAGTTAGTCCTTCCTCTATTTAATTCAAGTTATTTCTCTTTAAAAGCTGTACTTGTTTAGAAGTTATTACGAATCAAACAGGAGTACTTTTTTTGGGGACACCCGGTATATACAGTATTCGGTTTCCCCTCTATCGTAACCTTTACCTTTTTGATGCTTGGGAAGATGTATTCCTCGCTGTCGGTTATTGTTCTTTTTCTGAAAAGTAGGACCACAGCCCTCATGCTTTCCCTCGGGACGTCTATGCTCTCTTGAACCTTGTAGCATTCTTTGCCCACACGGTTGTCTTTAACAATGTCGTGTGTTCGTAGGATAGGGACCTACCCGATGAGACTTTCACCGTTATTGTCGTATACGAATTCACCCCCCACCCTTATCATCAGTCGTTCACACAGAAGTTTACCGAGGTTATTCATAAACCGGGATTTGGTGTTTTCGTTCTTGAACTCGTACGACAGGCGGAATGAGCCCGGAACGATACAGATGTTCGGTTCCAGTTTCGGAACTACTATATGCGATGTCGTTTCCGGGGTTGGATTCGTTTGGGTTAAATGTAGCGAAGTTACATACCCTGTTTGCTACAACATCGGAGGTCGGTGCCCTTTTGAAACCGGGCGTAAGTTCTTGGCTTCTCTTCTCCATTCACTTTATTATAGTATATTAACTAATTATTAAATTTTTCGAACTTTGGTTTCGGCTCGTCCTGCATCTGAGGTTCTGTTGTACGATTAGGTTTGTCCGTAGGTCCGAACTTACAGTATATGAAGTAGATTACCCCTAGTGCAGCTGCTGCGACTCCAGCGTAAATCAGCGTATTTACCGAGTCACCTTGATCGGAATTATTTTCGGCGTTACGTCTTTCTACAGCTTTCCTTGCTTTTGCTTCTTTAGATATTGCGGCTAGTCTTTTACCCGATTCTACCCTTTTCAGATCCTTTGGTTTTTGGGTCTTTTCTGCCATTGTTATTGTTGGCTCATCCATCCCTTATTTAATATACTTACTTTTTTTATTAGCTAGGTTTTAGCATAACCTTAACTAGGTTTTAGCATAACCTTAACTAGGTTTTAGCATCATGTCAGATCTAGTCAGAATCTAGTCAAAGTCTAGTCAAATGTTGCTTCAGCTAGTTGCAGCATAACCTTAAGTAGTTTCAAGGTCATCTTAAGGTAATTTCGAAACCTACTTAAAGAAATATTTTTTATATAATAAAGGATATGGATTTTCCCGAGAAATTATCGGAAAAGGAGCGTCAGTCACTGAAAGAGTGGCGTAAGTTGAAGTTGGACCCCCCGAATTGGTTGGTTCTTCTCAGACAGGCGGAAAAGGAGTATATGGAATTTCTCAACTAAGAGAAGCCGAAGAAAATGCCGGTGTATATCAGAGTGCCTGACAAGCACTTTTGCTTCGAAGGACGGAAGCATCAGTTTGCTAGCATAAACGGGGAAAGGACGTGTCACAACTGTGGATGGGTTACAGGACCCGTTCCACCTGTTTCAGACTACGATTGTTGGAACAGTGCAATCACGAAGTACCGTAAAAAGGAAAGCAGCATCAGCGATAGGTTCAGGTCATTTTGTATTAGAAGAAAAATAACGCAATTTTTATTTTCATTTCCACTAACGTATGAGTGGAATTTGATAGTGGGAGACATTCAGACAATCTGTAGGGCGGAGGAACGCAAAATCTGTAAGGAGGAGAAGGAGGCGGAGAAACCTAAAAGGAGGACGCTTCCCAACCTTAGTATTCTGATTTATCAGATATGTAAAAAACATGGCATAGCAATCGACAAGAAATTGCTTAAAATTCCGACAAGCAGACTTCCACACGATCGGTGTAAGGAAATATTTTGGACGCTGGGCTGGGAATATATCGAGTGCGGTCGTCAGAACAAGGTAACCGTAAAAAAGAGGATTGTGAAGGATCTGAACATGTCCGACATCGACTCCAGATACGAGGGATTCTGTAAGAGGATGGGAACAATATACTCCATGTTATCGGTAAAGGATAGAAGTAGGATCATGGAAGACATCAAAAAGGTACACGATGCGGAGGAACCGAAAATGGGGTCGCTTCCCAACCTTAGTATTCTGACTTATCAGATATGTAAAAGACTTGGCATAGCAATCGACAAGAAACTGCTCAACATTCTGGTAAGCGAGGTTCCACACAATCGGTGTAAAAAAGTATTCCGGACGCTGGGTTGGGAATACGTTGAATAATTTTAACGCTTCCTACTAAGCATTAAAATTGAAACAGTAATTTTAGAGCGATGATGACGAGAAGAATTTCAACCGTTATCGGGATGAGTAGACAGAACACCAAACTCATCCACGTTAGTCTCCACAATATTTCAGTTTTCGTCATTTATTTTAACGTACTTTTTTACCGTTGTGCTAACATATCCGATCTGGGTGTGAGCGTTGATAGTGAGATCACCGCGTTCTATACCGATTCCGAAGCGGAACATTTTCCTTTTTCGGTGGTTTTTGTCGTACTTTGCGGTCTCAGGTTTTGCGAGTAAACATCCCATTTTATTTACTTCCCTTTTTATTTTCCGTTGACTTCGGTTTTTCTTCTTTTACGGTCTTTGCCGACGGTCCCGCTTTATTTTCCTTACACGACGTAACGTACTTGATGTTGGTTGTCTTGGATTTAACGTAACCGAGATTAAGTCCACCTCTATTGAGTTTTATATCGACGTTAACGGTTTTATCCTTTTTTAACTTTCCCTTAACCTTGCTGCTGTCGCTATTCATTCTTTTATTAATACGAAAAGAAAATCCATCTTGAAGTGATAACCCCACCAACGAACATATTGCCGAGGAGGTAAATCAGATTGTTTGATGCTTTCGGTACGTTTACCGTGTTAGGATGTGGTATGGTGTTCTGGTCTTTGCGTGGTATAAGGTTTTGGACTTTTACATCCGGACTCTTTTTTACCTCCTTAGGTTTTGAGTAGTTAACATCCGTATTACTACCAAACTTCATGTCCTTTGTCGCTAGTGTCAGTGTGTTGTTGTATCCCGCTACTTTTTCCTTAAGTATAATCATATTGGATGGTATCAATATCAGTTCGGGCGATATTGCCATGTTAAGTACAGCGTTAGTATCCTTTATTGCCCTCCTCATATTGGAGATGGATACCGATACATCGTCTTGCGCAACGGTATCTTTGAAAAGTCTGTGAAATACGTCCTGAGTCTGCAGGGATTTCGCCCCTTTACCAACGATAGACCAACGTGTTTGTGCTTGCGCACCCAATACGCAGTAAACGTAACTTTCGATAGATTGTTGAAGTAGCTTTAGTCCTAGTGGTGTCAGCCCGTTTGATTTCTTAGCTATGAATTGGGTGTAGTCCGTATCGCTGTTGTTAAAGACTCTCTCTACTTCCTGATAACTAATTCCCATCACACCACCAGTATGGTAGTATGAATATTTATAGTTTCTAACCCTACTTTTATCCGGAAGTCTGCTATGCCAGAGACCTATTTCTGTTTGTCCTCGGTGGAATTTGTCAACCCACGTTTTCCGTGTAAGCGTGTTTCTTTGTAGGGACTTTAGCATATCCTTCGTTACGTATTTCGACATTTTGTTCGGATTTCTGAGGAACCTACGCATGTGGTAGTATATAGGTGTTACCTAACATACTTGTGATTACCCTCGAGGTTCATTTGCTTTCCAGCAGGTGTTCCGTACTTATCCCACACTTACATGTAATAATGTAAGCAGCTAGTATCGATGCAAAATAGGGATCGTTTATATAATCGAACTTTAATATACCTGGTGATAT